AGTCATTTATATATTCAAAATGTTATGTTGTGCAGTGGACAGAGAGTTATTGTACAGGAAAAGAATGAGGACAAAGTGATCGAACATGTGGTAACTATTCAGGTTTGGCAGATGAAAACTATTCCTAAACTACTGTAATTTCAATAGAGCACTAATCAAGTTTGCACTTGATTTAAAATTTTGTGTCAAAGAATAGCCATTTTATGCTATTGATTATTGGTGATAAGGTTAGAAATTTTCAAAACTGAGATTGTTACATCTAGTGGAAGAATGTAATATATGTTAATTATCTATCTGTCAATCATTTCCAATGGTAATATTGATGGTTTAACTTCAGTTATCATTATTGCTGGAAATTTCTATTATTTAATTCTTTTCATGCGTAGGGTTTGACATCCTCGGGATATTTGTTAGCTGTCGGTGATGATAATCAAATGTGTGAGCTCCACCCTGATGGTAATAGGTAATGGATCAAAATACCTTTTTCTTCTGACTGCATGATTAAGTTGTGACAAAAATACTTCTGGAAAAAACAAGCAACAGTTTAGGCCTTTGAACTTTTTGAAATTTGAAGCGCACATGTACTTATCAGAAACAGTGAACAATTTCGTCTGGCACATTTATTAATGAAATGAAAGTTTCAAATTTCGTTATTCCATGACGTGATAACAAATCAATTGAAATCCAAAATGATTTTCTACCGTGTTACAGTTTTGACTTTTTCAAAGGACTGGTCAGAAGGAAACTCGACTGAACAAGATTCCTGGACACTTTTCACAAGAGGCAACGACCATGTCACTTTGTATATATTACAAGGTTTTGGCTTCAAAGCTAAGAATTTTCCAGTAAATTGTATTTGTTTAATATATTTTGTCATTAGTATTTCAGAGCTTTTGTATTCCATTTGTGAATTTCGTCAAACTTGTAATGCGCTTTCCTCGTCCGGTCAAACAAGATCTTCTATAGATGATTGCTTTAGTCCATCCAAATAATTACGTATTTTTTTTCTCTTGATAGGACCTAGTTCATGATTGCTTTAGTCAATCATTTGTAAGGAGTATGGTGGTCCTTCTCCGCCAGCTATGAAATGATTTTGGATAAAAACAAAAAACGTTCATATGATTCGTTGTTGTGCTTAATAATCGCCTTTGCTTCCAAATAAAGTGTGCTCGAATTAGATGCTTAATCAGATTGTGTTGACTGTCTGTCATCCATCTACCACTCCATCATGACCAAAGTGTCATATATTCTGTGAGTTCGAGGGTCGGTTGCTTTTTGAAATTGGACTCATCTGCCATAATGCCAAATTTGATTTCCTTATGAAAACGCAGTACTTTTTTCCCATTTGGCTTTAAGTAGTAATGGTTACCCTTTTGTGTTGCCATATTTTTCTCACATATTAGTATCAAGTTAGTACAAGATCAGATTATACTTGCACTAATGCTTATACATGAGACTTGACTTTGTATTTTCTATAATAATTAGTTGAGGATTTGCATTTATTCCGCAAAGGGTAGTATTCTGCTACCGATCCATAATGGCCAAAACTCTTTTCCATTTAGCATGTGTTTTTGGTGGGGGGGTTGGTGGGCTTGTTTGATCAAAAACCTTTAAAGTGGCATGTTCAATGGTCGAGGGGTACTTGCTCTTTCTCTTTCGGAATCTGTGGCATTATTTGCTTGTATTTCTGTTAAGAGAACAAAAGACATCAC